GCACCAGACTTATAACCACGGAAATCACACATAAATGTCTAATACTAATGTACGAATTGAAAAAAAATGTGACCGTGATATGTGTCCATTATGAGAGTTGTTTTGCGGTATCAAAACTGACTCAGACCAGTAAAATAGAAACGTGTGATGCACTTTGTCACAGCCTACTACAGCTGCGTGGTTAAAGCGTCAAATTAATATATGATAATTGTTATTTCACAGGTGAAATCGTGCAAAAACCGACCTGGGGTCGCGACCAACCGAACAACTATAATGGCGAGCAAAACTGCGTAGTTCTTGATGGTGGAAGAGATTGGTTGTGGAACGATGTTGGATGTAGCTTGGACTATCTACACTGGATCTGCCAGTATGGTAACATAAGGCTTTTTCTAAAAATAATTTGAATACAACAATATTAATAAATAAGGTAAAGAAAAAGGACCAAGGTTTGAACCCTGGGGCACTCTCGACTTAGATACCTACTGATACGACTCAACAATCATAAAGCGGTGTTTCACAAATACATATGTATACTGAGAATAATATTGACATTCTTCCAGGTCCTCTAAATTGCGGCAGTCCAGACAAGAACGTAAACACAACCATAAAAGGCGCAGACTACAACGTAGGCTCTAAGATAGAGTACAGTTGTCCACCTGGCAACGTCCTTATTGGAGACAAAGTGCGCAGTTGCGAAAAGAATGCTATATGGACTGGCAGTGCACCCTCCTGTCGATGTAGGTAATTTTATAACAGTGCTGGATGAAATTAAAATAAAAATACGATAATAATTATGATTACACATTTGATCATTATAAGAATTATTGAGGTTTTCTGAAAAAGAAAGTCAAAACTTGCTAGCAATTAGGACATCCTCGGAGGCATATAAGAGATATGGAGGATGTATGATAAAGCTGAGGAAAGAGATATCCAAAAATAATGAATAATCCATTACTCGATTATATTTTCTTTATAATGGATTTTTTTAATCATAGTATTCGAATTTAAAAAAAAATGTATTATACGAATTAACAAGCTCAACGATTTTTGTGTACAAATGTACGTCGAAGGCAAAATAAGTTCACAGTTCACTAACATGAACAAATAGATAAAAAACGACGCCGTCTGTGTGTTAATATGTAAAACAGTTTCATACTTTTTCAAATGATCATTGCAAATCGGAAATGGTCACCGCCACAAAATAGCGTACTAGATGTTTTCAACAACCCTTCCAATATGGGTTATCAAATAAAAGGGGATATTGCAGCATAATGTCAAGTCCAATGTGACATTAGATATTATTTATGAACCTCTCTCAACAGGGGTATCAAATAGAAATCCTTGACTAGACAAATTCTCCATAAAGAAATCAAATCCAAAATAGCCACCGTCACCAATAAATTGCATATTTTCAAATTCCCTAAATATGGGTATGAAATACACTTTCGAAAAGAATCTCTAATCTTAAGTTCGTTATGGATAAGAAACATAACACTGCTCTTTTCTCGTAAATAAATATAAATAATAAATAAATAGCGTTTATTGCCCAACAGTTAAGGAAACCATTTACAGGACAATCCTAAGATAAATCAAAATAACAAGAACAGGAAACACATAAAAAGCAGGTGATTTCATCTAAAGAAAAAAAACATATCATAAATTATCCAAGCAATTTCTAGCTACTCCCAGAATGCTGTTCAAACTGTCAGCATGTATATCACAATGATTTGATATTGCATTGAAAGTTTCACACATCACATATATGGGTGCCTTCAAAAACAAATTTGTGCTAGCCCTGTCACAATAACATGTTTTAACTATACGAGTTTGAATAGAAGGAACATTAAAGTTCATTTGAGCCACAATCACATTAGCATCAATTTAATTGTGCAGTAGTTTATGCAAGAATACAATTGATGGACACTTCCTTCTCAGTTCTAAAGACTGCATTTGAAACCTAGACAATAAGAAACTTTCAGATATACCACGTTCAGGATATATACCGTCAACTTTAAAAATAAACATTTCAGAAATTTTCTCTAAACATGCCCAAGAGAATTGGGTTCCAAATTAACGATGCATATTCCAATTTCGATCTAATATATGCAGAATACAAAACCAACAGTGACTCTGGGCGGCTAAAGTTTCTACATTTTCTCACAATAAAACCGTACGCCCGCGAAGCTTCACTCACCTTTTGAGCTATGTGGAGTGAAAAATTAAGTTTATGGTCAAAAACTGCTCCCAAATCTTCAATTGAGTTATAACGATTTACGTAAGCATCCCCAATTTTATAATTAAATTTATAAGCAGAAGTTTTTCTGGAAAAGCTGACTACACTACACTTAGACGCATTAAAAAATAAATTATTTTCGTCACACCAAGCCACTGGAGAATCAATATCAAGTGCAATACAATCAGTCTCTGACTCAATAATCCTGAATAATTTTAAATCATCCGCAAAGAGGAGCTTATTACAACTTCAATAACGCAGAACATCATCAATAAATAAGGTAAGCAATGAAGGACCAAGATTTGAACCCTGAGGCACTCCCGATTTAGTTATATACTGGTACGACTTGAATCCATTAAATGTAACATATTGCTTTCATTTCATGAATATAACTTTGAATGAGTGCTAAAGCTGATGAATGGAATCCATAATAAAAAAGTTTATTCAAAAGTATTCCACCCTATCGAACGCTTTAGCAAAATCGGTATATACTACATCTAGTTGACCTTGCCGATCGACACATTCAATAGCGAACTGAGTGACGATTGTTAAATTAGTTACTGTGGATTTCTTAATAAGAAAACCATGCTAAAAGGGGACAGATATCTATGAACTGCGGAGTAAATTCTATTAATAATTTTTATTATTCTATATTATCTCCAGCAATTTGGAGAAATTCGGCAATATTGCCACCGCTCTATAGTTTTTAATATCAGACCCAAAACTTTCTATACTAAGTGACATATAAATCCGAACACCCAGTTTAAATGGTTTTATTTTAATAAAATTTTGTAATAAGTACTTAATGAAGCATAATAGGTAAATGATAAAAATTTCAAAATGGTTGCACTGCTTTAAAGCCCTTTGACCTTTAATAATGTGTGGATGCACCCTGATGTGCTACGCATTCTCCAACGCGCCTAGGCATGCTTCTGATCAGGTGGTCAATGTCCTCCTGTGGTATCTCATTCCAGGCAACCACCAACTCCTCTCGAAGTGCTTCTAGAGTCTGAGGAGGACGTTTCAAATTGAGCAATCTCCTACCCATCATATCCCACACGTGCTCAATTGGGGATAAGTCGGGAGATCTTGGTGGCCATGGTAACAATGTGACATCATTATGTTGAAAGAAGTCTATTGTGACTCTTGCAACATGTGGTCGGGCATTATCTTGTTGGAAAGTTGGATCTGCCAGGGTGTCAAGATAGGATAAAAGATGGGGTTCTAGAACTTCGTGGATATAACGCTGCGCGTTCATGTTACCTCTGATGAAGATTAAAGGTGACCTGGAACCATAAGCTATAGCACCCCAAACCATAACTCCAACAGTGTGATGAACACGTCTTTCAACAAAAAACTGTGGATTCCTCCTTTCACCATGTTGCCTTCTAACCCTGGCACGACCATCGTGCATGCCTAAACAAAATCGAGACTCGTCACTAAAGACAATACTGTTCCATTCCTGATCTCAGAGTGACCGTTGTCTGCACCACTCAAAGCGATTACGTCGGTGTTCTCGAGTTAAAGGGAGGACCCAGTGTGGCCGGTATGAGAACAAGCCAAAACTTCTCAGTCGTCGGTAAACACTTCGCATGCCAATAGGTCTTCCGTGTTCTGCAAACTATTCATTTGCAATGGACCTGGAAGTGGAGAAACGGTCCCTTAAGGCCAATAATCTTAGGCGGCGATCTTCACGGTCTGTTGTTCTACGGCGGCGTCCAGTGCCCCTTGCTCTTTGCGTACGGCCTTCTCGAAGCCATGCCTGACAACACCTAACCACAGTGTCTACACTTCTTTGCACTCTAACTGCAATTGCCCGAAAAGAAAGTCCAGCTTCCCGAAGTCCCACTATACGGCCCCTATCAAACTCACTAAGTTGACGAAATCGTACAGGGCTCCGTACTCTAGGCATCGTAACCGATCGTAAAGGATGTCAAGAACCAAAATCCGCCAACGTTGATTCTTTACTGCGGCTGAAATATTCATTTTTAGAGCGGTAGTGAATTAAAAAAAATCAGTATAAAAACCGGAATGTCCAACTGATAAGGCTGAACATTTTTTCACTTGTTATTTACAGTAAGATAAATACATTCACCAACTTTTATTAAAATAAAACCATTTAAACTGGGTGTTCGGATTTATATGTCACTTAGTATATATTATCTCCATCAATTTGGAGAAATTCGGCAATATTGCCACCGCTCTGTAGTTTTTAATATCAGACCCAAGACTTTCTATTATCTTCAGTCATCTGTTTACATCATTACCATTTTGATTCTGATAAAATGTTTATACTGGAATCATTAGTTTTTGTTTCTTAGTTTCGAAAACAGATGGTTGTCGTTTTTTGTATGTTTGAACGTATCATCTTATTTAGTTTTTCTTCTGGTAGATTGTTACTGGTCTCTCAATTTTATTAGTACTATACAGAAAATCGCGCAGTTGTCAACTAAGAGACAAAATCGATTTATCTAGAAAAATTGATTGTTTTCTTCTTAAGTCGCTTGTTTACAAATCGAAAAAATAATTTTTCATCAATCAGTTTTTTCACTCATTGTCTTTTCCCTAGCCGAGCATGCTTTGGGCCATATCCTTCTTTTTACTGAAACCGCAAATGCAGAACCTAAATACCATAATACCGCGATTGTTATAAAGAAAATACTGTTATAAAAAAATACAGTTATCTTGATGACTTCTCTTCAGTAGCTAAGTTATTTGAGTCTGATTTCTCAGCAGCCTGAATAGCACTAAAAAAATTATATAAAATTGGAAATCGTAGACATTATTCAACGCTTTCTATGAAATTATCGATCATCATTATTTTTAACAAACCCAAACACAAGCGCAAGCTGTTTTGGGTGATTTATGTTTATTGTGCACAATACTTAATACGAGCCCCTTCCCACTTCAGTTGGCCCACTTCAAGATTTGTACCAAAATATGCTTTTATAAACTAAACATGACGAAACTATTTACTTCTAAAACAATTTATTTTCTCAAAAACATATTAGATACACTCTAGTCGTAAAAAATACATATTTGAAATCACATAGAACATCTAAACAAATAAACAATGTGCGAATAAATGCGCGAAGTTAACAAAGCAACAATTGAAAGATTACCATTGGGTAACATCACCTTTATTTTTTATTACGGCTGAAATTCTTTGGGGCATAGTGTTAACCAAGTTTTGGCAAAAATTTGGTGTAAAACAACCCCATATTTCATGAAACTTTTGTCCCAGTTCGGTGATTGTACGAGCAGGATGTTGTCGTAGAACCTTTTTCATCTTGTGCCACAAAGTTTCAATAGGTGACAGATCTGGACTGCTAGAAACACATTTCAAAAGTGGTACATTATTTTCTTCCATCCATTTTATAGCCATTTTTGAGGTATCGCACGCTGCACCATCTTGCTGAAACACAAAATCTTGGCCGGATGTCAAACATTCTTCCATCACTGGTTAAAGCGATTCTTCTAAAATTGTCAAATATTTGTTTGTGTCCACATTTCCATCAATAAAATGAAGTTTTCCTACTCCTTTTGATGACATACAGCCCCAGACCATAATGGATGCTGGAAATTTCACTTTTCTCTTCAGACGGTCAACATGGAATGCTTCATTTTTTTTGCGAACAACTCTACTGCGACTGTCACCAACACAAACCTCGAATCGGGCCTCATCACTCCATTGTATTGCACACCGTTGTTGAGGTGTCCATTGTCTATGTTCTTTAGCCCATCTAAGCCGATTTTTTTTTTGCAGTGCAGTTAATAGTGGCGTTTCTTTGACCTATAAACAAGTTGTGCAACTTTAGGGTTTTTAATTCACTTTTTTTATCAGAAAACTTACCTTGCAAGTGCTAAATCCCAGTTTATGGGCCTCTCTAGGAGTTGTGGACCTCGACATTCTCCTTCCAACTGCGTCACTCCACAGAGCACTTAATTGTAAATAATTGGCACGCCTGTTTTTCACGATTATTCTTCTTAATGCTTTTCGGTCGGCATTTGTGATATTACTTTTTTTCACATATCGTGGCTTAATATTAACTAACAATATTTCTCACACTGTACCGCGATAAGTCTAACAAAATTTCTGAGTTTGATTTCCCAGAATAAAAAAAATTAATTATCAGAAACCGAATTTTCTCACTAATAACCTTTCCTCTACCCATTTTGAAAACGTTAACTACTCAAAACTATTTTAAACGTATTCTGACAGCTGTGATTAATAAAAACAATTGTCATGGCTTTTATTTTTCACAGCCACCTATGCGTTATACACTTATTTTGCATTGAAATGAAAATAGGTTGATATTAATTGCAACATGTGTTATATTTATGATGCAAATTTGATTAGGGAGTGATAAAGTCGGTGTTTTCTACTATATATTATCAAAATATTCATTGTTAATATTTTAAACCTAACACACCCTGCTACATTTTTATTATTTGTGTTTGATAAGAAAAAAACTAAGATTTCAATAGTTGGGCCAACTGAAGAGGGAAGCGGCTCATATTTACCTGTATTTTGTAACAATAGCCATTGTTATTATCTTTTTACAGATGTAGACTGTGGACCGCCTCCAAAACTAGAAAACGGCACTGTATCCCTAGTAAACGAAAGCACCACGTACGGTGCCAAGCTGCTTTACACTTGCAACGAAAACTACACGCTAGTAGGTGAAGAGATACAAGTTTGCAAAAAGGACGGCAAATGGAGTGGAACAGTTCCAAAATGTTTGTTCAGCATTTGCCAGGAGCCTCCATCGGTACATGGAGGCATGATCAATGTATCCGGGTATAAGGTCGGCGATACAGCCACATATAACTGCCTTACTGGATATGTTATGTTTGGCATGGAGGTAAGTCCTACTTCTTCTTCAAATTGATTTTTTCACTTGGTTCATTATCCGCGAAAAAAATATTTACTCCCAACATGCATCAAATTAGATCGTTAATTTTTGCGCTGGCAGCACAAGATCATTTTTAATGAATTCCTTGCAGGTATAATAAAATTAAAGCATGTTTATTATTATTATTTAGATCTAATTTTCCTGGCTTATCACAATGTAGTCGTCTCACCGTCCAGTGGAGGGCGCTGGCGGTCTCACTGCAATAAGCCAGGAAAATTAGCTCTAAGCTCGTGCTAACCAGAAAAGATGTCAGAAAGAAACATGTAGTAATCGAGTAAAAGGAATGTTTACTCAAAGTTTGTGAAAGAATAAGCATTCTATAGTCAACGCCAAACAAAATGGCGTGCACGTCATCACGATAAAAATTCCCCGACCTAATGCCTAGGTTTCTATCACAAACAATTGCTCTATTGCAGTTTCATATTAATGTGATATATAAATTGTAAAATGGTCATTACTCTCTTATTATGGTTAATAGTCATATAAACATTGTTATTAAAATATCACATAAGTTGCTTTCTGATAAATTTAGACGCATTATGCGAAATAAAATGTTTTGCAAACGCTCCAATCACTTATCGACATGTAAACGCACTAAACCGATTTCGCAGCGTTGACACATTGTCACCTTGAAACTTATTTAAACTGGGAACTGACATTTGTATTAATTTTGACACTGAATCAATTTGTGGCATTTCAAATCTTTATAAATCCTTTGGCCCCGCATACTGTAAATCAACAACTGTTTGTTTCAAAACAAAATTATTCATTTTACGAGTAGATAAAGGCAATTTTGGTATATAAAGATGCCCAAACAGTTAAATAGTCGGTGTAAGGAACTCGTGGCCTCGTTAATGCACTACTTTGAGCAAGAAAGGGACAACAACGGGCCTTTGTTGCCTTTAAATGCTGTTCAAGAGGTAGGTTACTAATAATTATATGTAATGTATATTAATAATAGTGAAATTTTATTTCATTCTTTGTAGCGTGTTGCTGCTGCTTTAAAAATTAGTTTAAGGACAGTTAGTCGTATTTCCGAGGGTGTGAGATCTTATTATAATAACTTATCAAAAATTTGCATTAATTTGTTAACTAAATTATAATGTCATATTACACATGGTTTCAGAAGAACAAGTTACGATACAAACTTTATGGTCTCGATTAAGAGATAGGGCATTATTTGATGGTAGTGCCACGTCTTTAAGGCGGTTGCTTAGAGATCCTGGATTTAAGGGGCTTAAGGACAATCCGCGACGAGGGCTCATCGAACTACCAAGTATAGCTTTGAAAAGGGTGGAATTTCTAAGGCAATACAATCAAGCCAAGGTTGAGGCCTTATACCAGTTTGTCTTCCTCGATGAAACTTGGATATTTCAAAATGGGACCATAGGTCGCTCTTGGCAAAATGGAAACCAAAAAAGCGTGAAAGCTATTAAAACAGATGGTAAAAGGTATGTACTTTTACACAATTTGCACTATAAAATTTAAAACTAATATATTTTAGATACATTATATTACATGCTGGAAATGGAAATGGGTTTATTGAGGGTAGTGAAGCGATATTTTCTTCGAAAACAAAATTGAGCGATTACCATGGAGAGATGAACCAGGACAATTTTTTGAAATGGTTTCAACATCAGTTATTAGAAAAATTGGAGAGTCCATCTATGATTATACTGGATAACGCCCCTTATCACAGCATGATATTGAACAAAGTGCCCAACAATGCATGGACAAAAAAAAATATCCAAGACTGGTTGACAAATCAAAACATACCATTTTTAAACACAATGTTTAAAACAGAGCTATTGAGTATTGTTGCTCGGTACATAATGCTTCTTAATTATATATATTTTGGTCGACAGTTTATATTTCTTTTGTTTATTCCTATTCTTAAAATAACTGCTTTTTAGAAACAAACCACCTAAAATATACGTGATTGATGAATTGGCGGAACAACATGGGCACAAAGTTCTTCGTCTGCCTCCTTACCATTGTATATTTAAACCTATTGAGTTAATTTGGGGCATAGCAAAAGGTTACTATAACAGACATATTGGTACAGATGGTAACAGTGAAAAAGACTGTTTGGATATGTGGAACGAGGCTCTACAAACGGTTACCCCAGACATGTGGAAAAATAGTGTTCGACATACTGAGCAAGAAATTTTTAAATGGTATGAAAGAGAACGAATTTTTGATCGACCAGACATCGAACCTTTAATAATCAACTTTGAGAGTGATGAAGATTCAGATTCAGACAGCGCTGAAGAAAGAAACTCCGACTAACTTTATTGTACAGAAAAAGCTTACACCAGTAGCTTACCTAATTTTAGAATGCATTTTTCTGTATGAATTCTGTAAAATAAATACCATGCATAAAATTTGGAGGACCCCATTTGGATTTTTATTCAGTACCTTTAAGCTATCAATTAAATATAATATATAATTTTATTATACTATTATTTTTGTTCTCATTTGAGGTTAATATTGCTTATAAACCTAGATATGTAAATAATAAATTTTATTATTTTACAAAAAGTTTGGCAACAATGTAAATTTTTCAACACACCCACCTTGATGACGTGCACGCCACTTTGTTTGGCGTTGACTATATGATTTTATTTATGTCCTCAAAGGATTTATTAAACACAAACCTATGAAGAGACAAAATAGGTTTTTGTAGTTGACCTCAATAGACATGATGATCTATATGTATATATATATACATATACAGGGTGTTTCAGTTTATTGTTGCATAACTTTAAGATTCAACAGAACTTTTAAAATTAATGCATAAAGTCTATATAAACATGGGTCGAAAAATGCGTGGCTTTCGAAATACAGGGTGTTTCAATTTACTTTCTAAAAAAGTTTTTTTAATATTTCGATTTGGGCATTACAAGTAATTAAGATGATCGTTTAGATTGTGTTTTTAAACATAGCAATAATTCCTAACTCCAAATAAACACAAAAAAACAGAATATTAATTTGTTTAATTTTCCAATATTATTTTTAACAAATTAAATTAATTATTTACAACTAAAATGCTATTGGATAGTTAGGACAAACATACAAAAGCTAAAGTAGTTCCTCGAAATGTAAAGCCAATTGTTCAATACACAATTCACATCTACGAATGATCGAACGTTTTCTTATTATATATATTCCAATAAGGCCTTATTTCATCACATGCATTCCTGATTCTGACTATTAGCATATCTCTTGTGGTTACGGAAGTCTGGTACACTTTTTCTTTTAGAAATCCCCACACAAAGAAATCGAATGGATTTAGGTCAGGGGATCGTGGAGGCCAGGCGACAGGTCCTCCACGGCCGATCCATCTTTCTGGATAATTTTCGTCCAGCCAGTTTCTAACTATTTTCGAATAATGAGCTGGACAACCATCAAGCTGGAACCAGGACAATCTTCTTAAATCTAACATAACATCATCCCATGTTCAGCCTTTAAAAATTCCAAGAAGGTCGCAGCATTTAACCTTGCAGGCAAAAGGTAGGGTTCAAATAGTCGATTACAGTAGATACCAATACACACGTTCTCACTGAATTCATGCTGAAAAATTCTTTCCCGAACTGCATGCAGATTTTCATGCGACCAAATATGCTGATTATGAAAATTTACCACTCCACGTCTAGTTAAGCATGACTCATCGGTCCATAAAACGTTACTTAAAAACTCCCTATTATTATCAGTTCTATCAAGAATCCACTGACAAAATGTGATTCTTCGTTCTTCGTCCCCTGGCTGTAGTCCTTGCACAGGTTGCAAATGGTAAGGACGTCTATGGTCATTTCTAAGAACACGGTGAACATGGCTTGCTGAAATTCCCAAGGCACCAGAAACTCTCCTAACACTTGTGGTCGGATCTCTATCAAACTCACGCAGAATCATACGGGTAAATCTGCGCTGACGAACATTTATGTTTTGATCCCTTTGGAGATTTCCAAAACCATTTTCAATTATTAGGCACTCTTACAAATACTGAGCGAGTTGGATGTCGTCTGTTTGGAAATCTTTGGCATTGCATGGCATTTTTATAAAACTTACACAAAAACAGGTAAAAGAAACTAAATGTCGTGCATTCACAATTGCAAAAAAACGTTTCAGGTTCCAACAGACAATAAAACTAACTGTCAACTAATTGACGTTTAACCTTATTCTGCTTTCAATTTCAAAAATATTTGCAGGCACAGCCTACTTCTAAAAATTATCGAGATACTGACTTTTTAACGTTATTTTATCATAAATAATTAAAAATGCATCGAACCTTAAAAATCGAAATATCTAAAAACTGTCCAACTATAACGAAAATTCACAAGAGAGCTTTTTTATGTTGAAAAGTGCGAAGAATCAGTTTTTTTATTCAAAAAGCAAAAAATTGCACCAAGAAAAAACATTCGGTCATTTTAATACACTACAGGTACAGTAGAGAGCGGCCTCTAGCGGCTACATTAAAACTATGCCCATGGTTCGTTTTATCGTACCAAAAAACCCTCGTATACCAGTTTTCACTGTTATACATCAAATATTGTTCGAAAGATTTAAAAAGAACTATTTTAGAAAGTAAATTTAAACACCCTGTATTTCGGAAGCCACGCATTTTTCGACCCTTGTTTATATAAACTTTATGCATTAATTTTAAAAGTTCTATCGAATCTTAAAGTTATGCAACAATAAACTGAAACAAATCCTTCTTTTTGATTGGTGGAAGTTGTGCCCCAGTCGTAAATTTTGCGATCGCGATCACCTGAAAATAGACGCTCAACTAAACTTTAATGTCCCATCTATTCGAACCAGTACCATCAAAACCTTTTATTGACAGATCCCGCACAAATTTATTTTTGAAAGCACCCATACATGTAATGCGTGGAACTTTCAATCGCATATCTAATTATTGTGATTTACATGCTGGCAGTTTGAACTGCATTCTAGACATAGCAATGAATTACCTAAAAATTTTATAAGTTTCTCACTTGAGCGAAATATGTTTTTTGTTCCTTTTTCTTTTTTGTTTTCCTCTTTAGACAGAATCACCTGCGTTTTGTATAGTTTCCATTCGTAAATTTGATTTATATTTTCTCAGAATTGTCCTGTAAATGGCTTCCTTAACTGTTGGGCTATACACTCTATTTATTTATTTTTTATAATGCACAGACGACTCAGATACAAACACAAAAGACAAATTTTTTGACAAACTCCCTGAGGAATTAGATAAGACGAAAAATTAGACAAGAAATAGTCTAATAATAATAATTGGACAACACGGAGAGGAAGTAGTCAGTGAAAACGGAACCAGATGGATAAAGCTTTGTGAACAACACTCGTTAAGAATCTTAAACGGATTTTTCCAACACAAAGACATACACAAATATACTTGGACTCAAAAAACAGAAAACTTGAAATCAATTATTGACTATGTCGTGATTAAGCAGGACACTTCCATAATACCCTATGATGTAAAAGTTTGGAGAGGAGCTGAGTGCGGTTCAGATCACCTGCTAGTAAAAGCACCCATTGAAATTATTTACAATAAACATCTCATATATCAAGAACAAAATAACAATGGAAAACCCACAAAGCGATATAACATAGACAGCTTAAGGGATGAATCCACCAGTTTCCTTTACAAACTACGTTTAGCACAAAAACTGGACGAAGATATTAACGGCAAGGCAGAAGAAATGTAGGAAACTTTGAAACACAAAATTCACGAAGCAGCACTAGAAGCCCTTGGTGTTAAAGATAGAACGGAACACAAAAATTCTTGGTGGACGGACGATTTAACCCAACTGGTAGAAGAAAAGAAAAACTTATATCTTAAATGGTTAACTACAAAAGACGATGAAGATCGAAAAAGCTATAATCGTTTTAAATATATAGTAAAAAAAGAAATTAAAAAAAATAAAAAACAAAACATGGGAAACCAAATGTGCTGAAATTAGCTCAATGGTAGGAGGATCTAGGTCTAGAGAAGCTTGGCGAACTATAAATGGTCTTAAAACAAACACGAATGAAAGAAGAAAAATAAATCCCATAAAAATAGAACAGTGGAAAGACTACTACAATAATCTACTGGCAGAACAACGTGGAGAGTATTTAGACACGCAACTAGATATAGATCAAACGGGAGTTAACAGAGTAGATACCATTCAATTAGAAGAAATAAAAACAGCATTACAAAAAATGAAAAATAATAAAGCTCCGGGACCGGGGGATTTGCCTATCGAGTTAATTAAACACGCCACCACAAGAACGCACGAGCTACTTTGTGTAATTTTTAACAAGTGCCTGGAAGGGGAAACGATTCCCAGAGATTGGAGGAGCTCTTACATAAATTCCATTTATAAAAATGGAAACAGGAGTGACTGTAGTAATTATCGGAGTATTAGTATTACATCGTCCATCGGAAAGCTGTACGAAAGAGTCCTAACAGCCCGAATAGAAGACGAAGCCACGGAAATTGAAGAACAAAGTGGATTTCGACCTGGGCGATCCTGTGTCGACAACATATTTACAATAAAACAACTGATAGAAAAGAGATTAGCAAGAGGAATGGAGCTACACGCTACTTTTATAGATCTCCGCAAGGCATTCGACTCCGTCCCTTTGCAGAAATTATGGATCGCAATGAAAGAAGCAGGCATAAATAGCAAATACATAAACGCCGTAAAAGCAATGTATAGAGAAAATCAAGTGGTCGTTAAAGTCGGAAATCAAATTTCTGAGGCTTTCCCACAAACAAAAGGTGTTAACCCTGTTTAAAATTTATCTCTGCAGCGCTTTAAAACAGTGGATAAGAAAGTGCAGCCCGATGGGGATATGGTTAGAGGACTTTCACTTGTATACAATCCTCTTTGCAGATGATCAGGTAGTCTTTGCAGAAGACCAGCAAGACATGACTTACATGATAAACAAACTTATAGAAGAATTCACTAAATGGGGTTTGGAGATAAATATACAAAAAACACAATACATGACTATAGGAGGCACAGGACAAGATATCGAAACAAAAAGCGGAAAAATAGAAAATGTCGGACAGTACCAGTACCTAGGAGTTACAATAGATGAAAGCGGAAAGGATAATAAAGACATACTAAGGAAAATAGGAAAAGGAAAAAATATAATTAAAGCACTACATCCGATCTTGTGGAGTAAGAACCTAACAAAGAAAACTAAAAAAATTATATATCAGGCTATGATTCAGCCAGTACTGACATATGGGTCAGAAGCGTGGGTTGTAGATAAAAATATGTCACAAAAGCTTCTCTCAACCGAAATGATGTACTGGAGAAGATGTTCCGGTTTAACTTTACTTGACCATGTTAGAAATGAGACCATCAGAGAAAGAATGGAAGTCGAAAATACAATAATGGACGATATAACAGAGAGGCAGTTAAAATGGTATGGACACCTGCAACGAATGAACGAAGAAAGGATACCATTAAGGGTTTAGAAATGGACACCAGCACAAAGAAATAAACGAGGAAGACCACGAAGGAAATGGATTTCAAACATCCATACCGCAATGGAAAGTAGAGGACTACATGAAGGAGACTGGAACGATAGGATACGATGGCGTATGGGTTGCGAGAAGCGACCTTAGGTTGCAGAAACTCGCCATATATATATATATATATATATATATATATATATATATATATATATATATATATATAATGCTTAGTGGGCTATGAATAAATAGTACGATATGATATCACAAAAAGCCTAATGGAATTTGGAATCTACGCACCCGATTTACCCAGAATACAGCTTCCATCTCCATCATAAACGCAGTTTTTAGATATTTCTTATTAGTCGTTTTTTTGACAAAGTTGAATTCTTGCCAGTATCTCGAAAACGAGGCATTAAAAAGCGTATTATAAAACACGTTCACGTTCCCGACCGACCCATTTTGTGCCTTTTTGCTAACAATACCCCTAACATGATAATTATATGTAAAAATGCTTTAAATGCAGTTCAAATTACTTTTATTCCAGGTATTATAGTGAAAAAACTCTAAAGTGTCACCAGACTGATTTAGGATATACAGTTGACAGGAAACTATTTTTCCGGGCTAGCCGTAATTTCTAGCTCTGTATCGACATTGAATTTGGAATGTACGCACCCGATTCATTTTTCTAATTTCCAGAAATTACGTTGCGGCCTGGGAGGCGAATGGGTGGGCAAACCTCCATTTTGTAAGTACGTGGATTGTGGATTTCCTACTGACATCGAATACGGCAAATATGATCTCAAAAACGGCACAACGATCGTAGGAAGTATTGTGGAGTACACGTGTATAGACGACTATTGGCTAGATGGAGAGAGACTGCAAAGATGCACCAGGGAGGGAAAATGGACAGCAGACGCTCCGGTGTGTCAACGTGAGTAAATCGATTTCAGCACTTGATAGTTTCTGTACCGGGTGGTAAAAGAAAACAGTAGCAGACAAAGAAGCCGACAGAAATGAGTTACATTTTTTTCGTCATTTATTTGTCATGTAACATCCAAAAAACAATAACTCAAATTCGCGATAACAAAAATTTCACACTACGTGTAGATCTTGAAAACATAAGCATTTTTTCTTAGTACCATATACATCAATGTCTTAAGGGAACCGAGATAAAGGGCTCAGCAACATCAAAATGTCTGAATACCGTCCTGTAGCCGCGACCCGCGACATCCCCGAGTGGTACTAGAACACTAGCTCAACCCGACGACAGAACTGGGTCGGGGTCAGTGTGTCAGGTCAGTATGCAACCTTCAACCGACGGTTACGGTCACGCGTGTAGAGGTAATCGCGTAGACGAGAATCCCTCAACAAGCACTAGAGACGTGGCTAGAGAAGTGCAAGTATCAAAAATTAAAGTGTGGCAAACGCTGCGTGAAGAGGGGCTGTATCCGTTTCACGTCCAACGTGTACAAGCCTTTCAACCTGACGATTTTCCAGCAAGAGTGCGGTTTTGTGAGTGGTTGTTGCATCAACATGACAATAATCCGGACTTTTTGAAGTGCATGTTGGTGACAGACGAATCTACGTTCACGCGTAATGGGGTGAATAACTTTCGCAACACTCATGTTTGGTCAGTAGAAAATCCGCACGCTGTCCGTCGGGCACATTTTCAACAAACATTTTCGGCGAATGTTTGGGCTGGCATGGTGAACGGTATGCTCATTGGACCATTTATTCTCCCAAATCGATTGGACGGGATGCAATACCTAGACTTTTTACGCAACATTTTGCCTTCCTTGTTAGGAGATGTGCCATTAAGTGTAAGACAATCAATGTGGTTTCTGCACGATGGTGCACCGCCCCATTTTAGAAGCGAAGTGCGTGAGTTTTTGAATGAATTATTTCCGAATAGGTGGATCGGACGTAATGGACCCGTAGCGTGGCCTCCGCGATCTCCAGACTTAACACCATGTGATTTTTTTTCTTTGGGGAGAAATGAAACGATTAGTGTACAAAACTGCATACGGTTGACGAACTTCGTCTCAGAATTGAACAAGCTGGTGCTTTCATTCGGGGGAGGGACTCCATTCTCAAAGCCTGCACCGATGCTTGGCTACGTCGTGCACGCACCTGTGTTTTTGAATCAAACGGCGATAACTTCGAACAATACCTATAAAGTACGTTTACCTAAAAACTGGAAACGCGGCAACGCCGTCTTATTTGTTACCTATGTTCGTGGTCTGCACAACCGCCGGCGTCTGCTCGGTAGCGCATCAGCTGATTTCATTTTCTGTTGGAGCGGTATGATTTCGGGCAGAGACGTACTTAGCCCTTCTCGTCAACTGGAGAGTGAGTACTTTTTCCTTTATTTTTTTTACTTGGTCGCCCTCGTTTCACTACACATTACCTTTGTTATTTCAAGGGTAGTTGTTTCTGAAAAGGAAAACCCCAACTTTGCGGACACCCTGTATACTCAAGATGCAAAATGCTCCAAGTTCATACGGTGACTTCAATACTAATAGTCGCTGTTTCTTTACTATCATATCTTTACACCTTACCATCTTTAGATTCTTTATTCCCGAGGTGTTTCTATCAATATCTCTTCTTTCAGTTATCACTTGCGATGAGCCGGAAGTGCCTCCAGGAAGCTATGTGATAGGCTACGACTTCAACGTACATTCCAAGATAGAGTACCATTGTGAAACAGGACACTTACTCATCGGCAAATCATCTCACGTCTGCGAGAAAACTGGAGAGTGGTCGGATTCTGTTCCTGTTTGTGAATGTAGGTACATTTACTCATAAATCCACAAATTTCTCTACAGCAATTGAATACACGAAGTTGTCCAATAGTTGTGCATGTCTTAGCATGTTAATGCTAGTTTCTATGTATAAGGTTTTTGCTGTGATCTGTGCTTATTTATTTGCTTATTTATTTTTTCTCTGTATTGACCTGCCAGAAGTCGACGTCAAGCCGAAACCGGGTGATAGGCAAAGTCATAACAGCTATCAGAAAAATATTTAAAAAAATGTTATGTATGTGTTTTGAAAATTATAGGTCTTTGAAAAAAATATAGAAATTTCACACCCTACGGCAGTCTGTCAACTCCTGTTACTACAAAAATTAACTTTTTTTGGATTTTATTTTTACAATGTAATGATGAATAATGCATCTTCAAACTGGTGTCTTAACCTTACTGCCAACTTTTCTCGTTCAGGAAAAATTGCCACTTATTTCCCAACCAAGTATTCCAAAGTAAAACTTTGCTCAACTTTAACTGGCTGTACTGGAAAAAAATGTACTACGAGAGTTTGGCAAGTAACCTTAAAAGTTGGCGCATTTAATAACAAAAAGGTATAACACTTAGAAGATTACTCTTTAACTTATGCACAATTTTTATTTGAAAAAAAACTGATGAACATTTTTCAAAATTGCTTAATTAAACAGCGATTATGAAAACGCACAAGGACCCTTAAGGATAACTGTTTGCACAACAGTGGGCGTCAAAATGCTGCTGATGATGATTTACCTTTACAGCAAATGCTCAAACTGTTTTCCTTCAGCCGCAATACATGCTCGACATCTTCTTAAAAAAGATCGAGTTATTAAACGAGCGAATCCACGGTTATTAACAAACTCAGCTGCTTCCAATAGTCTTTGCCGTAGCTCCGCTACATTTTGAATCGGCTTGAAATACACTTTTTCTTTTACAGTTCCCCAGTAAAAAATCATACCACGTACAGCGTGTTCAAGCTCTTCTGCCCCGGGATTATGAGCCCCGAGTTGCTTTTTGTCGCACAATGTTAGAAAGACACAGGGAAGATCCACGGTTCTTTGGAAAAAATATATGGTCAGATGAGACCACATTTAAGAAAGATGGGTACATGAACCTGCATAACTTACACGAGTGGCACGTAGCAAACCCACATTTGATGAGAGAAGATAAATCTCAATATCGCTTCAAGATAAACCATTGGACAGGAATTTTAAATGGTAAAATAATCGGTCCGTTTGAGTTCCCAGAGACTTTGACTGCTGAGGTTTATTTAGGTTTTTTGCAAAATCATTTAGAAAATTTATTGGAGGACGTGCCACTGAATATTTACAGGCACATGTGGTTTCAGCATGATGGCTGCCCAGCGCACTATGCACTCTCAGTGAGAGAGTATCTCGATCAAAACTTTCCAGGCAGATGGATAGGGCGGTCTGGTACAATACCGTGGCCAGCCCGGTCACCAGATTTGAATCCGTTAGATTTTTTTTACTGGGGAACTGTAAAAGAAAAAGTGTATTTCAAGCCGATTCAAAATATAGCTGAGCTACGGCAAAGAGTATTGGAAGCAGCTGAGTTTGTTAATAACCGTGGATTCGCTCGTTTAATAACCCGATCTTTTTTAAGATATCGGGCGTGTATTGCGGCTGAAGGAAAACAGTTTGAGCATTTGCTGTAAAGGTAAATCATCATAAGCAGCATTTTGACGCCCACTGTTGTGCAAACAATTATCCTTAAGGGTCCTTGTGCGTTTTCATAATCGCTGTTTAATTAGGAAATTTTGAAAAATTTTCATCAGTTTTTCTTCAAATAAAAATTGTGCATAAGTTAACGAGTAATCTTCTAAGTGTTATACCATTTTGGAATCCTTATTAAATGCGCCAACTTTTAAGGTTACTTGCCAAACTCTTGTAGTACGTTTTTTTCCAGTACAGCCAGTTAAAGTTGAGTAAAGTTTTACTTTGGAATGCTTGGTTGGGAAATAAGTGGCAATTTTTCCTGAACGAGAAAAGTTGGCAGTAAGGTTGAGACACCAGTTTGAAGATCCATTATTCATCATTACATTGTAAAAATAAAATCCAAAAAAAGTTAATATTTGTAGTAACAGGAGTTGACAGACTGCCGTAGGGTGTGAAATTTCTATATTTTTTTTGCAAAGACCTATAATTTTCAAAATACATACATAAAATTTTTTTAAATATTTTTCTGATAGCTGTTATGACTTTGCCTATCACCCGGTTTCGGCTTGACGTCGACTTCTGGGACACCCTGTATAGTTATGTATTACCATGGCCAACAAATACTACTACTTCTATTCACTTACAAAAAAACAATCTAGGACTATTGCGCAGAAGGTTGATGAGTTTCTGAAGTTTAGCCTGCTTCGTTTATCTTTGGGAAGTTGGGAAATTCTCTCCGTTGCGAGTGAAATGCAAATAGTTTTCTCACGTTTTTCCGCACGATCCCCGTTAACAAAGTAGGGGGATCGGAAAGGCAGAAATCTATTTTCGTCCAACAAACTGTCGGGTTCTTATGAAATCCTCCGGCGAGTTGTCAAAGGCAGCAGCTTCAGCGTCCTTCGGGTCAATAAAACGCTGCCGTTTACTGTCCTTTTGCTAACCCAAATCGTAGCTTCGTGTGCGGTTGAGCGTAGTTGAAATGGAGGCCGGATTTTCTCGATGACGATTTGCCTGCCTCTTTATCGCTACCAAGGGCGTAGTTAGTGAGTTTCAAATATGTAAACGGTGAACGTATAGTCAACGCCAAACAAAGTGGCGTGCACGTCATCACGATAAAAATTCCCCGACCTAATGCCTAGGTTTCTATCACAAACAATTGCTCTATTGCAGTTTCATATTAATGTGATATATAAATTGTAAAATGGTCATTACTCTCTTATTATGGTTAATAGTCATATAAACATTGTTAATAAAATATCACATAAGTTGCTTTCTGATATATTTAGACGCATTATGCGAAATAAAATGTTTTGCAAACGCTCCAATCACTTATCGACATGTAAACGCACTAAACCGATTTCGCAGCGTTGACACATTGTCACCTTGAAACTTATTTAAACTGGGAACTGACATTTGTATTAATTTTGACACTGAATCAATTTGTGGCATTTCAAATCTTTATAAATCCTTTGGCCCCGCATACTGTAAATCAACAACTGTTTGTTTCAAAACAAAATTATTCATTTTACGAGTAGATAAAGGCAATTTTGGTATATAAAGATGCCCACACAGTTAAATAGTCGGTGTAAGGAACTCGTGGCCTCGTTAATGCACTACTTTGAGCAAGAAAGGGACAACAACGGGCCTTTGTTGCCTTTAAATGCTGTTCAAGAGGTAGGTTACTAATAATTATATGTAATGTATATTAATAATAGTGAAATTTTATTTCATTTTTTGTAGCGTGTTGCTGCTGCTTTAAAAATTAGTTTAAGGACAGTTAGTCGTATTTCCGAGGGTGTGAAAAGTGATGCAAATTTAGAATCGCCCAAGAAAAAGCGGAGTTATATTAAACGTGTAACCAACACAGCGACATTGGATACAAGTGCCATTCGAGAAGTGATCTATAATATGTATCACAAAAGTAAGATCTTATTATAATAACTTATCAGTAATTTGCATTAATTTGTTAACTAAATTATAATGTCATATTACACATGGTTTCAGAAGAACAAGTTACGATACAAACTTTATGGTCTCGATTAAGAGATAGGGCATTATTTGATGGTAGTGCCACGTCTTTAAGGCGGTTGCTTAGAGATCTTGGATTTAAGTGGCTTAAGGACAATCCGCGACGAGGGCTCATGGAACTACCAAGTATAGGTTTGAAAAGGGTGGAATTTCTAAGGCAATACAATCAAGCCAAGGTTGAGGCCTTATACCAGTTTGTCTTCCTCGATGAAACTTGGATATTTCAAAATGGGACCATAGGTCGCTCTTGGCAAAATGGAAACCAAAAAAGCGTGAAAGCTATTAAAACAGATGGTAAAAGGTATGTACTTTTACACAATTTGCACTATAAAATTTAAAACTAATATATTTTAGGTACATTATATTACATGCTGGAAATGAAAATGGGTTTATTGAGGGTAGTGAAGCGATATTTTCTTCGAAAACAAAATTGAGCGATTACCATGGAGAGATGAACCAGGACAATTTTTTGAAATGGTTTCAACATCAGTTATTAGAAAAATTGGAGAGTCCATCTATGATTATACTGGATAACGCCCCTTATCACAGCATGATATTGAACAAAGTGCCGAACAATGCATGGACAAAAAAAAATATCCAAGACTGGTTGACAAATCAAAACATATCATTTTTAAACACAATGTTTAAAACAGAGCTATTGAGTATTGTTGCTCGGTACATAATGCTTCTTAATTATATATACGAGTATTTTGGTCGACAGTTTATATTTCTTTTGTTTATTCCTATTCTTAAAATAACTGCTTTTTTAGAAACAAACCACCTAAAATATACGTGATTGATGAATTGGCGGAACAACATGGGCACAAAGTTCTTCGTCTGCCTCCTTACCATTGTATATTTAACCCTATTGAGTTAATTTGGGGCATAGCAAAAGGTTACTATAACAGACATATTGGTAGAGATGGTAACAGTGAAAAAGACTGTTTGGATATGTGGAACGAGGCTCTACAAACGGTTACCCCAGACATGTGGAAAAATAGTGTTCGACATACTGAGCAAGAAATTTTTAAATGGTATGAAAGAGAACGAATTTTTGATCGACCAGACATCGAACCTTTAATAATCAACTTTGAGAGTGATGAAGATTCAGATTCAGACAGCGCTGAAGAAAGAAACTCCGACTAACTTTATTGTACAGAAAAAGCTTACACCAGTAGCTTACCTAATTTTAGAATGCATTTTTCTGTATGAATTCTGTAAAATAAATACCATGCATAAAATTTGGAGGACCCCATTTGGATTTTTATTCAGTACCTTTAAGCTATCAATTAAATATGGTAGTT